AAATTTCAGAACATTGACACTCTGATTTTTCTGTATAGCAAAAATGTATGTTCAATAGTGATTATTTAGTATTTTTGTTATATTATTCACTTCAAGACTGGGGATACAGAACCCTATTAAAACTCCTTGTTTTATTGGTATGCTCGAAGTATCTCCTATCCCAGTGTAACTAAGTTGGTCTACAGTGACGGGTCTTGAAAAGGGGTGCAGTATCTCTAGAGACTTCTTCATAAGAGCTAGTCATTCCAACTGGGCACAGGTACCGTTTTTTTTTGCTCTGAATCAGGAAAAGTAAAAAAACGGTCATTTCGAGGTTATAAGTGATGGAGATGGTTCCGAAATCAGCTTGAATCAACTATTGATATCACATCAAAAAGTGAGATTTCATTCATCCTTAGTTCTGACAAGTTTCGATTATTGAGAGTTGCCATTCCAGAAAAAATATGTATCAGTGAAAAACGGCGAGTATCTCACCCACAATACAGTAGACACACTTTCATTCAAAATCTTTTGAGAAATACTGAAAAGGGTATAATATTTTTCGTGTTGAATATCAGTAAGGCAATTTTGTCAAGTTCTAAAAAAGGCGAAGCACTCGGATTTTACAGTCCCTTCACATAAACAACGCCTGCAGCGCAAACAAATATTCGTTTCAACCTTTTTGTACCCTCTCACGATAGAACAGAGGACATCGGTGTGATTCGATTATTATGCTATGCATTTAAATGGAGAAGGGGAATATTTTCGATTGCAAGAGATATGGAAATATTCTAACTGATTTCAGTATGATAGTGTGAAATCAGAACTATAAAAATAAATGAAAAGTTTTCTGAAATTCATTTAGTTAATGCTACTTCGAACATTGTTCACCAAATGTTTTGAATATCAAAAATATCTGAATTAAAATAATCGCTTATATTATGTATATGTTTTTACTTTATATCAAATGCAAATTTCCACACAGTTTGTAGTGGATGGAAGTATAGGCAAAATAATCCATTACTCAAACTTTCAAACCAATCACAGTTGACCAGACTTTACTGTCCGACCGAAACTTGTTTTTACGACCGAAACGGAAACCAAATTTCGGCAACGGTCTCAGTTTCGGCCGAAACCGAAACTTCCTTACAAGGATTATGTTTTGAGGGAAAAATAAAGAAAACGTTATAATAATCAGTCAGTCTTTATTTTTTTATCTTTAAATCACAACGTTATGCAGGTACCTAATATTTATGTAATAAACAAAGTCAATCACAAAGTAAGTCACGAGTCACGACAGGTTTACCGCCGAAACCGAAACTAAACTGAAACCCGTTTTTTTGCCGAAACTCGACGGAAACCGAAACCGAACTTTCGGTTGGACACTATCAGATTTATTACCCACTACATTCGAAGGCAGTCACTAGGGTTGCCAAACGTCCCGTATTTCAAGGGACATTCTATTATTTTATACTTTTGTCCCGCGTCCCGGTAAACTTTTTTTTGTGGGACGGCAAAAGTCCCATATTTTGCTGAAAGGACAAATTCATTTGATAAAACCAATTTTAAACACAAAATATTTGACGAATCCTCTGTCTGTCCATGCCACGCCGCCCAGCGTGTAATATGTACAGCCTGTCCTACTTTATCATTCAAGGGGATGATATTCCCAAGTATCTTAAAAGATTGTTGCTTTTTAATGAAGAAAGCACAGTAGAAGAGTGTGAAACTAATGACATCGCAATAGTTTTCCATTTTCTTAGTAATGTGTAACCTGTGTTTGAGACTGCAAGCAGCTGAGATATATGAAAAATGGTTAAGTTAGTCGAAAAATTGGAAAAAGAATAGAAGACAGTTTCAATGGATCTGTTGTTGGAAAGGCAATGAAGAAATTAGATGAAGGCAAAAGAAAATGTTTAGGCGGTGAATTCAAGTTGTTTTTGGAAACAGCAGTAAAGTTCTTGAAGAAATTGTTTGCTTGAAAGCAAGTACTTTCAAGGATGCCAATCCCCTATTTATAAATTTTATAAAACCTTTAAAACCCAAGAAATTTATGTTAAGTAGGCCACTATGGCATTTGGATCCGGTAAAATATACTTGAGCACCGTAAACACGTCCCTTATTTTTATTATCACAATTTGGGAACCCTGCCAGTCACATATGAGCAAATTCGTAATTTTACAATATGCGATGGAATTAACCGATACTTGATGAAAATCCAGAACGTATTACGAGATTTTTACTAAACAATTTTTCAAAAACGCAGCTTGTGTTTCGCTTTACAAAAGCGAGTCATAGTTTCCATTTTTGTTTTTCATTAGTAACTATAGATTCAGCAACGAAATAACTGTTCAGTGAATAAGTTTTACGTTTTTGAACAATATTCGTAAATTTCTCTCTAAAAATGTCCGTATAAGTAAAAAAGTATCAGAAAAGTTAAACTCAATGATGAGTTTGTTATGTATACATGAATTGATGACAATTAACCGAAGTTAAACTTCATTGAAACTTTTCGAAAAAAAAGTTCCCCATATGGTGCACAGTTTGATGGTGACACTGTATATCAAATACATTAAATATTTCCTCATTATCTAGAAAGTTTTTCAATTTATTTTGTACGTAAAGAGGAAGCAGGTGAATAGTGCATTTCGATGCGTCGACAATTTAGTCAAGGCAACCCAATAGATATTCAAATTATCCGAAACTTTCCTCAAAGCGAGCAATTTAAGCAATCAATTCTGCTCGAAAAGTTCATCCTCTGTGATACGATGTGATAAAAATTTTTTTACATACACTTGGCATACGCTAAAGTGAAATTGGTATGAATCTTATGTCAAAAGTAATGCGTTTTATTCAATACACAATATTATATATATATATA